GATCCAGTTGAAAGTTGGTGGCTTCGACTGGCGAAAAGCCATATCAAGCGTGGCGTCTCAAGTGTGAAATAAGTCTGGCACTTGCAGATTGATGTCTTCCGCAGATCAGGCAACTCCTTTTGCAAGTTGACACGTCTCGCGCTTGCTTTCTTCTTTCCAGGTCATGGACATCTGTGAATTACTTGTTGAAGTGCTAGCACGTGTTTCGAGTCTTTTGGAACAAAATTTGCGTCTACTTTGTGGGCATGTGCATCTCACTCAGCATGAATGAAGGCTCCTCAAGTTCTTCGGGGCTGTGTGCAAAGGGGCACTTGTCAGCGTACCGGCAACGCCCTGGCTTGAGACCACGGTGGACTTTCCACTGGCCAAACACATAGCAGCTGTATCGCAACTAAATGAAGAACAACCGGTTAGGGCGAAGCTCTGCCAGCGCGGCCCGTCTCATGGAAGCGGCAGAGCTTCGTTTTACGGAATTGTCCGACCTTGGGGGCTTCGAACACATGGGCGGCTCGTCGAAAATAGGGACCATTTCTCTCGCCCAGGTCCATGAAACCCCCTTTTTCTTTGCAAATCCATCCCAAATCCGAATGCAATAGCTGGATCCATCTCGGGAGCTCGCAAACAAAGTCTGCTTTTCTCTCGACATCGGAGCCTGGCAAAAGACTTTGTCTGCAGGTCGAACGACTCGCCGTTCATTCACGGCACACATTGCACTGGGGCATCGTTTTCGGCCGGGCGCCTCAGAGGTGTTCGTCTTCTGCAGGCGGCTCATCTGACCTGATGCGCTTGGTGGATCTCGGACTGGATTGCTTCGGAGCAACAAAAAGCAAAGGGCATCGCTACTAGGAGCAAGGAAGCTACTAGGGGCTCCTCGCCTTACTACTAGGAACAAGAAGCTACTAGGGGCTCCTGGCCTTACTACTAGGAGCAAGGACGCTACTAGTTAGGAATCAGGAACAGAAATTCTGCAGAAACGACGTAGACCTCTTCAAACTAGAAAAGCTCCACACCTAGGTAATCCTAGGCACCCACTTACAGGGATAACTATAGGGCCCCAGTACAAGATGGCGTAATATTCCTCCACCCCCAAAATATAGGACGTGTTATTATTGTTCTGAGATGTTCTGAGTATAGTCAGTATAGTCTTCATGCAGCTGGAGGAGCAAGGACGCTACTACTAGGAGTCAGTAGACGGTAGTATCTCAAGACATGGAGATCCGATCTCCAAGTCAGGACGCTGAGGCCTGGACCCATGATGGAAATGAATCAAACGCGTCGGTCTTAGACTCCGCAGTCGAGCCCGCTTGGCAATCGGATGACTGGAATGAGGGCTGACCCAAAAACCAAACAAGCGAATCGTCTGCCGATGTCAATGTTCCACACTTGGGCTGCAAAAATGTGGAATAGCCATCCTTTAGACATCTCTAAACTTGGATTCTAAACGGCGCGGCTTGACCTTGACTCACTGAAGTCACACAACCGCTTCTCGATGTTCTAACCGCACAGCTTGCTCCTCAAACATGTGCTGTCTTATGCACATTGCACTTGTCTTGGACGAGTGCACATGGTGAGGTGAGACTGTTTGCAGCCACTCCGAGGAATCAGGTTCGCGATTCTCAAAGGGAAAAGCGTCGCGACGAACCGATCTATCGATCATGGACCAGTTCGGGTGTCGTCTGACCGTTAAAATTTACTGCCCACTCTTTTGCTGCCCGCTCTTTTCGGAGAACCACTCCTCTCAACAACGCTGTGAAAATGAGTCATACTCGAAATGATTGTCCCAACCCCATTTGCGGTGACAAGCAAAGTGCACAAGTTTGACCCTATCCACCTACCTTTGATACTTTCAAAAGTCTTGTGCAAACAACTGGAGGCAACGGCAAAGCTGCAATCCTCCGCCAACGAACACTGCCACGAGTGTTATTGCGGTGTATGTCATCTTCTTCCTGCAGGACCAACAGAATCCCCGCAGGGCCCGGCAACCCGGTTCGAAGGAAACCCCCGACAGCATTGACTGAGTGTCAGACAAACATTGACTGAGTGTTTGGTTGAGTCATTATATATAATTCTTGCGAGGTTCATATAACCTGTTGTCAATCTGATAGCTTGACTGATTCACACCCAGTGAGCCAGTTGTCCAAATTGTTTCAGTGTCAAAACAGGGAAAATTGAAAGTAATCTACATCTCCCTTCCGATCATGAGAATTTAGCCAAAACGGGCAACTTGGGACTGAAACTGTCATCATTGCAAGGGCAGCCAGCTTGGAACTTGTCCCATCGGAGTATGATAACCGACTATGGTGAATGGAAAGCTCAAGCTCAGTGATTATGGGTGAATGGAAGCTTCTAGGTTGGAGGCCATCGCTACTAGGGTGGAGGCCATCGCTGTTAGTATGATAGACTGACTATGGGTGAAAGGAAAGCCATGGAAAGCCCCTGTCTGACTTTCCCGGTCCCAGTTGCCTTTGGGAGTTTTCGCCACACCGCTTCCTGTCGATTTGGGCCATGAAAGGCCCAAAGACTCATGAAAGCCGCAAGAACCGATAAAGGTGGGTTGCGCCAAAAAAAGCACTTAAATGCGATAAGAAAAGCGCGTTTTTTGTTTAATCCTTAAAAACCGTACATAAATGATCATATATAAATGGATGCGAATGCATACTGCAAGCGGTCCAGGCCTTGAACTCGTGGGGGTTCTTAAGCGTCTCATCTGTCAATAAGTACAGGTTCGGATTCCAACGATGCCGTCGTGGAAACAGTTGTCGCCTGGTATGATTGGGCTGGTCCAACTAGTCAAAGCTCTGCTGGGGCCAAGACGAGTCATGAGAAAGACGATCCTCTTGCTTTGCCAAGCATCAAATCATCATACGAGGATGCATGCTTCTGCAAGTTCTCTTGCAATTCCTGAAAATGGTTGTTCTCATGGCAGTTCTCCAAATCCACCGCACCGAAACTTTGAGCCGTTATATCATGTTATATCAACGCCCTCCCCCGATGGCCAACCGCAAAGCCAACGAAATCTGCACATGTCCACGGCCCTTCCATCACCCGAAATCTCTCGCCTCGAGCGATGCAAAACGCGCGTGCGAGGCCAGCGCTCGGTCCGCCGCTTCTTCCTTCTGGCGCGTCGCTGCCGAGGCCTGTCGTTTGGGCGCCAAAACGAGGCGCCTTGGTCCCTCGCAAAACCAGTGATAACGGTGGGGCCATCTGAATTGAGATGTTGCTCCTTACTTGTGATGTGTTTGTGATGCGTTTGTTTAAGTTGGTGTGTTTGCAACCCTCTTGCCTCTTATACTTTCTTTTCAATTGCACCAATCCCGACCTGTTGGCCGTGAGGAATGATCTCGATCGCAAGGCTGCTATCCTCCTCCCGGAGTCAAATCAAAAGCGCCACATCACATGACTACTACAGTAGTAGCAAGAAGTTAGTAGTAACAAGGGCATCGCTACTAGAAACAAGGGCATTACTACTAGTAGCTAGAAGTTACTAGTAGCTATTTGCTACTAAGTAGTAATAGTAATGCACTTGTTATATACTAGTAGCTCGAAGCTACTCATGCTTCTTCGTCGACGAAGTCCACCGTCCTCTCGCTGGGGTAAAACACCGCCTCGAAGGGTCAACTGATCCTGCCACAACAAGACCATCAACAACTACAGTGACCCCAACATGGAAAGGAATGAAAGCCGTGGAAATTGGTGAACCCCCTAGAAAAATATCTGGGACATTGGTTCTGTCTACTTGAGGACCTTTATACAGGCCCCTACTTTTCTCTGAACTGTCGTTCAACTGCTTTGCACAGCGAGCATCATCCACTGGGTCTGCCTGCCTCCAAGGAGAAAATCTTTCCAGAGAGACTGCCTATTCTTTCTCCGCAAGACTTCAAGACGGGAGACATCTCACGGCCAAGATCCCCAGCATCACAATCCTCACAAATCTCTGAATGACCTGCCAGGGTCACTTCAGCTTCGGCACTTTGCCCTTGCAACCGTAAATTGTTTCCTGGGTAACAGCCAACAGCATTTACGAATCGCAAGGTCGACAGGCTTGGGCCTTGCGCGCAAAGTTGCAGCCTGTCTTTCAGAGAGGATGAGGCTATGCGATCTGAGGGTAGCTGCTCCTCAAACACGGAGATCTAGACTCGTTAAAGCTGTCTCTTAAGCAAATGATATGGTAAGAACGGCGCTTGACTTTGATAGCCATTACAGTAAGCGCAAGCAAAAAAGTCAGTTTAGACTCCTCATTCCACACATCTTTTCCAAATGTAATGTGATTTGACCAAAAGAAAAGCATGCAAAAGCGGACGCCCGTCCTTGGGTTTTGACGCTGTGGGGTCAAAAGAGCTAAATTTGGATGCCTTCGGTGCTGGTGTCCCCAGTGTTACTCGAAGCTCTCTTTGCAGCCGGGACGATGACTGCAACACCTTGCAAGTCAATGGCAAATCGTTTTGTTTGTCGTTAAGTTGTCCACAACTCCTGCCTGCTTCAAGAGTCTAGTTCGTTCAGAATCAAGGGCATTTGGACGCGCCAAAGCTTCAACTCCATCCATTGCAAGGCTTCAGTCGTGAAGCACCAATCAATATTCAACCCTCTGAGAGTGCTTCGGATGAAGATTGCCTGTTTGTCAAAGACTGAATTGCGAATGGGAAGAACCGTGAGAGGGGCTACAAGGCACCTCAATGGGTTGAGAATCCATGCTGACAGGGCATTGCCCGTATCGCTCTTGGACTGTGGGTAAAATGTCAGAAGAAAAAAAGAACGGCAAGCTGCTCTGTCAATCTTGGAGCTGCAAAATGTGACCTTCTTGGAACATGCACAAACGCCTTTTCTCCTGTGGAATTGAAGTGTGTATTGCCTGCTCAAATCTTGGATTTGAATCAGACGGCCCCGGGGGGCTTAAAGCGAATTAGGAGTTCATTAACTCTATTAGGAGGGATATCATTTATGTATATAGATATATATTATTGCATATTCACCAGAAAGTGATAGTGCGGATGCTGTAGGTACCTCGCTTGGGGTGATGCACCGTGCATCGGTCCAAACACGACAAGCACTTCCAAAGCGACAGGCCCTGACGCTTGAGATATTCCTCCCAATCAAAGCGCTGTCAGACCAGCTTCCATGACTCCAGCAGCTCCTGGAGTCGAGGACTGAGGGCGCATTGGGAACAATCACGCATAGCCGGCATAGCATAGCCGGCATGTTCGTTTCGCAAACTACATCAAAACAAGCGCCTCACACCTTAGGCGCCACATATTCCCAACCTGCTCTCTTCCTTTGACCAACAATTCCAGCGGTTTTCCCGTTCTCTCGGCTCAATCAATCTCTGGGATCCCGCGCCCGTGCACGACGGTCTCTGGCTTGGGGTAGGCCTTGTGGAGAATCTTCGGCTGGTCATTGACACCATCTCTACATGATTCCATGATTTTCTACAGGTTATTGGGAGAGCCCCAAGGTAGATCGGCAAATGCGGGGGGGGTATTTGTGAACCGTTGAAGAATGGACCGCTCACTCATGCTGAATCAAATTGTCTGTATGACGTGTGGCTCATGTCAAGGCTCCAGTAACTTGGACCTTTCAATGTGATTACAGTATTTGAGGGGATCCAAGCAATATCTCTTACAAGCAGAAACAACTTGTTTCTTCACTACCAAACAAGTGTTTCTGTCTGACACCACTTTCCTTCCTTCTGTGGATGACCAAGCGTGTTCCACGGTCCGGCCTTTTTTGCGCGGCATGACCTTGGAATCGCATTCCGCCTTCTGGCAAGTCCAAACAATCTCCGTTACCAGCTGTCCGTTCCCTCAAGCAGGGAAGCCTAATGGGATGAGTGATGAACCAATGCTGGGTGATTTGGATTGATTTCTGATTCGAAAGTGCTCAGGGGGGTCCCCCACGTTTTCTGGATGCCTTCGGGCCTTCGGGCTCAAAACGTGCATAGAGATCCCAAGCGCAGAGTTGACAAACATGTTGTTTCCCAATTTATGTCAGTTTTCTCCTTTGCACCCAAACGTTGGTAACCTTCGTTGCAGCAAAAAATGTATTCTCTCCGGAAAGTAGGGAACGGACTGGATTGGCAGCGGCATCCGCCATATGTGCTTGGCGAAATTGTGCCGAACCTTCATGATGTTACTCATTTAGAGAGTGTGTGTGTGTGGGTGGGGGGGGTTCGTGTGGACAGGCAACATGACACCAACCCATGGACAAATTGGCCAAATAAAAAGCCCAATAAGTCAACTCGTGTCACAACATCATTCAAAACCATGTCACAGTCACGGCCCCAATCAATGAAAATAATCAAGAGTACGAAGACCAAAACATGCACTGATACTTCCAACCGGTTGTTACCTTGTGTGCTTTGTGGATGTTGCTAGGTTCATCATCCGCCTGGCCGATTGCTTCTTGAAAAGCTTCGCCGACCTGGTCATTGAGAGCCAGATTCCGGCAAGAAGGCCATCGGAAGAACTTGGATTCTTAATTGATCTTACTTGTTCCTTGAAATGATCGTGATCAAATGCAAACTATAGCTCAATTAAAAACTGAACAGCCCCAAGATCTTTAAGCCGTGCAATCATTCTGGATTGCTGGCTGCTAGCAAATTCCAAGACTGACATATTCAAGTCTCACATGAAATCGAATAAAAGGATTGAGAAATCCTGGCCTGCCAAGCTGCGGCGTCTTCGATCTAAGGGCGACCTGATTGGTCTGACCAACGGTGGCGGCCTGGGTCCAGCGTCTTGCACCGCGGAGGACCCGGACCATCCGTCGCCAGTCATAGCCCCGTCTCAGACGCCAACGGTACTGCTGGTTTTAGCAGCTCCACCTCACCTGCCTGCACAAGTGCGGCACAAGTAGAGGTGCTAGGATACTTGTCCCTAGAGAAAGGGCCTCCAACCTAATTGTAGTGGCCTCCAACCTAATAGCGATGGCCTCCTCACAAGTGCCCAAAGGAACCGCATTGCAAGTTTCTCAAGGTGGGAGGTGACATCTTCTGTGCTCAGGAAGCCACCGCTGCAGCTAGCATATCGGTGAAGTCACGCATATGGTAGCACACCTTTGGCAGATCAGGGCACTTTTTGAGGACACAAGGAACATCTGAAATGAAGGAATTTAGGAAACTCATTGCCGTTGTCATGCACCTGGCTGCTTTGAGGGCACCTGCGCATGATTTGCACACAGAAATCCATCAGCTCAGAAACAGTCCTTAGTCCTTGACTCAAAATACTAAAACTCCTGGTTACTTGTTCAAATCATCCCCAGCTTTCGTTCTTCGCCTGGTCCCAGCAGGAGCGGAAGCAGGCCGCTTCCTGCTTTGCGGTTGGAGAAACGGTTGTCATGAGTTCAGTCATCCTGGAGTAGAGAGAATATGGGACCCTCAAATACCAATGGAAATATATACTGGGAAAGTGGTCAGGTATTCGGGTTGGTTCAACTATGATATTCTATCTACTCCAAGACGGTTGTCCAACTAGAATCTACAAATGATCTACATCTATGTCCACGCTGCTCAATGTGCTTTCAGCACTCCTGAAGAATGCTCTGATTGCTCGTATTCCTGGAACCTCGCATGCAATGACCAGGAATTGTTGCCGTCGTTCACCAAAACCACTGACTCTGCACTCCCCAATGGTTGATGCAGACTCTCAGATCAAAAACAGCAAATCTGCGCCAAATCGAAGGCACCTCCAAATCCTCCCCATCCTCTACCTGCACCTGCAGAAACAGGAGCTACATGGTTGGAGCCGGATTCGGAAACTAGCCGGTCGGATTCTGAAACTAGGGTTCTGAAACTGGGGTTCTGAAACTAGGGTTCTGAAGCTTGGGTTCTGAAACTGGTATTCTGAAAGTGGGGTTCTGAAACTAAGATTCTGAAACTGGCGTTCTGAAACTAGGATTCTGAAACTGGGGTTCTGAAACTAGGATTCTGAAATTGGGGTTCTGAAACTAGGATTCTGAAACTGGGGTATTCTGAAACTGGAAAGTCAGATTCTGCAACTGGTATTCTGAAACTGGAAAGTTAGATTCTGCAACTTGCCTTCTGAAACTTGCAACTGGCGATCTCCACATCATGCGATAGCGTGTGTGCCTGTGACATCACCTTCGAAGCACATCCAAACCAACGTCATTAGCCCCCACCCAACCCCCCCACCCCCCAACCCCCCCTTGTCCCCATCGTGTGATCTCGACATCACGCCAACCCCCTCATCATTCACAAAGTTGCGGAATCCTGGTGAGGGAGTCCACAATGTTGCGGAATCCTAGTTGCGGAACGCCAGTTGCGGAATCCCAGTTGCAGGAATCCTAGTTGCGGAATCTTGACAGTTGCGGAATCCTAGTTTCGGAATCCTAGTTGCGGAATCCCAGCTGCGGAATCCGACCAAACAGTTGCGGAATCCTAGTTGCGGAATCCTGCGCAGTTGCGGAACTCGACTTTATCCGGAGCTACATGGCATAACCTAACCCGAACTCCCGAACACCAAATGTCATGATAACGACTTCACCGGAAATAGTACCAATCGCGTCCATCGTGGCGACTGAATTTGATGTGACAAAAACCACTGGCCGAATCGGCGTTAGTGCCTGGGCAGCCGCCTCCGCCTCTGTGGGAGTCTTCACTTCACCTAAGGACGAATACTCTTCTGCAAACCTACCACACCTGCTAAAGGGTCTGGCAGGCATCTTCCTCTTGTTGATACCATTGATACCCACTTAATTACTTTTAATTCTGCAACATCTAGATCCATCTATATATTGTATATATACATATTATATCGACCATCAAAAGTAGACACCTCACAGACTCTACAAACATATCACGTCTTGCAACAAGACCTGCCATGCTTCCGCGGTGCTTCGCCCGGTCGCTTCCCAAAGAATCGTCCCATCGCGGCCGAAGCGGTACACATTGCGCCTGTCCACGGTGCCATCGGCGACGTCCCCCGACGCTCGACGTCCGTCCGAACATCGGTGACTGCCACAGGAGAGACCATGATCGACGGTGTGAATTCTCAAGTGAGGAGCGCCCCGTTCATAGCGTCCGTTCGCTCCGTTCGTAGCGATACCCGGGGTCCTAGTAGTGATGCCCTTTGTATCCCTTTGTTATACTAGTAGCGTCCTTTGCTACTAGTAAGGCCAGGAACATGGTCCAAAAGGGATGCACAAAAATGTTCACGGATTCATGGGCCGATGCACGGCGGCCTTTCTCGAACCAACCAACACGACGCCGTCGACTCGGCCCCAAGCCTTCCATCAAGAACTCTCTGATATTCAAAGCTCCTGTCAGATTCAACCTCGAGACTGTGCGAAAATCATGCGGGCGCATGCCGGCCCTGTGGGGCGTCCGCAAGCAAGCGTCTGCGAGCGTCTGACGGCGTCTGTGGGCTTATGGATGATCTTCATTTGTAGCCAACAACATTGGGGCTGGTCTTTCGGCGAATGGCCCGTAGGAACTCTACGTTGGGGCTAGCAACTTGCAACTGTATGCTGTATTAGTCATCATTCATGCTTCCAAGCAACATCCATGGAGACCTCCGTCAAGGCCTGCACTACCTTTGGACCTTTGAGGCTTTAGGCCCTTGATCCAACACATCACAGAAATGCAGGCATCAAGTGTCCAGAGCAAATCCCCGGTCAATATTCTGGGCTCACGATTGGATACCAACGTGCCGTGCTGAGACTTTTGGGCTGCCGGAAGTGCAGTGCCACACGGGCGGCAACGGGATGACTCGGAGTGGTCCAAGTGGTCCACCTCCAATAGGGCTTGCCCATCCTCCATGTGAGTAACGGGAAGTTGGAGGCGTCCGTAGCTAAAACCACCAGGCAGCACTTCTACTAGGTCTTGTCAAGGTGCTGTTACTCAGGAAAGAAAGGCTTGTGGAAGACGTTGTTCAGCTGTCGCACCTGGAATTGGTTCTAAAGAATCCTCTTCTTTGAAGCAAGTTCTGCAACCCAAGTTGTATCTCCTGTCAAACAGTCTTCAGCCTTCTTGTCACCAATTCCACTGCATCGCAGCAAGTCCTGGCTTGAGGGTTCAGTTCAAACGCTTTCAGTTTCAACTACATAAGGCTTTCAAAGATCAGACACTAGACACCAAGACGCAGAAACGCGTGCAAGGCTTAGCTGTGCTGAGGCTTGCCTCTCGTTGAGCTTGCGCCACACCTGCAAAGGACCTGCAAGGCACTTCAAACCGTGAAGCAGGCCTCATCAAAGGCTCAACCGACAGCTTCTTCACAAGAATTCTAAGTTTGATTGTCAGATCCTCCACAACAGGGGAGGTTGTTGCGAAACGAGGGAAGCATCTGAATCTGCATCTTCGCATCACCCAAGTGCTTGGCACATTTGGGATTGCAGAAACTTAACAGGCCAGGCAGACCCAAAGCGCGCCGCGAGCGCCGCAGCATCCGTTTTGTTAATGCCCTGAGTCTGGTGAGAATCTATGGTTGCTTCGTTGAATTGACACGCAAAAACCAAAGTCCTATCTGAGAACGCATGAAATTTGCTAACATCCGGAGAACCCACCAAAAAACTGTTAAAGAAAACAAAATGGAGCCCACGAACCCGAATGCAAGCACGTTCGAAAAGCTACATATGTCCAAATGACACTCTTGTAGGACACTCTTGTGGGACACTCTTCTGGGACACTCTTGTGGGACACTCTTGTAGGAAACTCTTGTGGGCCACTTTTGTAGGACACTCTTGTGGAACACTCTTACAGGACACTCTTGTGGGACACTCTTGTGGGACACTCTTGTAGGAAACTCTTGCGGGACACTCTTGTAGGACACTCCTTGTGGGACAGTCTTATGGGACACTCTTGTCGGACATTCTTGTAAGAAACTCTTGGGGGACACTCTTGTAGGACACTCTTGTGGGATACTCTTGTAGGACACTCTTGTAGGACACTCTTATAGGACACTCTTGTGGGTCACTCTTATGGGACACTCTCTTGTGAGACACTCTTGTAGGACACTCTTGTGGGTCACTTACTCTTGTAGGGCGCTCTTGTGGGACACTCTTGGGGGACACTCTCTTGTGGGACACTCTTGTAGGAAGCTCTTGTTGGACACTCTTGTAGGGGGACACTCTTATTGAACACTCTTGTGGGACACTCTTCAGGGACACTCTTGTGAGACACTCTTGTGGGAGGGACACTCTTACAGGACACTCTTGTGGGACACTCTTGTGGGACACTCTTGTAGGACACTCTTGTGGGACACTCTTGTAGGACACTCTTGTGGGTCACTCTTGTAGGAAGCTCTTGCGGGGCACTCTTTTCGGACACTCTTGATACCACAAGTGATACCGCTGACCAGCGACACGCCGCGTTTATGCCACCCTGAGCGCTCCCCTGTGGCACGGCGCTCGCAAACGCGCTGTCCACCAAGGCCGCGCAAATCCCAATGGCCCAATGGCACTGCGACATCACGAACGTCGCGTCGCCACACGGTCTGCCCAGACACTAGAAGCAAACATGTCACACGATACCACAAATCATCCCGCTCACCAGCGACACGCCGCGTT